TAATGATCATTTCTTTCAAATTTATTACTTTAATTTAGTCTAGGCAACCTTATAATAAAATAAGAAAATACCTCAACAAGCCTTTTATATAACCAACATGGCCTAGCGAACTTACTTTTATAACAGTCCCTGGTCATGGCCAGTCTGTTTACCTTAAATTTTATTGTGATTTATAGAAATACCTTACTATTGATTATATATCCTGGTAAAATAATACTCTTTTAACCAAAACTTGCATTTAAAATATTTCTGATACAATGTTTTTTAATGCTTGCTGTTATGAATGCAAATGAATGATTGACCCACTCTTTGAATAAATAAGAATATTATCCATAAATATGATGAAGAAGCTATTTAAAAATGGTTTAGAAATTTTGCTCAATAGATCCATGAACATAGATGGTGCATTTGTTGATCCAAATGATTTCATTACAAATTCTTAAGTGATATCTCTTTATGAATGTTGCGTTAGTTATATTATTATCTTTATCTCACAACTAATGATAACTAGACCGAACTTCAATTTTGAACAACACTGAAGCCCCTTCTAGTTAATGAAATAAATCAATTCTTGGCAATGTGTATTTTTTTTTTACCATATGTTTATTTAGTTCTTTATAATCGATATACAATTTTAATGTCATCTTTTCTTACAAAATGTGTAAGAGCTCTTATATTAGTGTGCATATCTGTGTGCACTCAGAGTCGTGTTGGCAGTTGTATAGGCAGTTGTATAGTCATAAAGGAGCGGTGGTTGTTCAGGACAGTTGGCATGCAGGGTTGCACTCGTGGCGAGATGCACGCTTGTGCACGCACGCGTGCGACGTGGCTCGTGATTGCGATGGGGTGCGTACATGTGCAACAGGGTGTGTGCATGTAGTGGTGTGCTTGTGATTCTTCTCGAAGCATCTTTCTCGAAGCATCTTTCCTGCTCATAAAAGGTCCCACCACCAGTGCACATGCTTGGACGCACAGACGTGTGCATGGAACGTATGCAAGCACGCACACACAACACATTGCAAACGATTGCTATTGTATCTGTTTTTTTCAGCTATAAATATTCTCTTAATGGGAGGGAGGAATTCAATCCTCTCTCCTCTCTGAAAGCTTAAACTTCTCTTTTTAAGAGTGGTTCTCCTTTGTCTTGTAGAGACAATGCATAATTCTCTATTCGTAGACTCTAGTCTTTGTCTATGTAGAGACTTGCTAATGTCTTTAATAGATGGTGCATATTATTTTTTGGGCTTCAATGCTCCTCTAGTAAGAGAAAATATTATTTTGTACCAACAATTTTGAGAGCATTATCCATGATTGATTATTCTTTATTTGCTATTCTAATGCCAATAGAGTTTCAGTTGATTATCATACGAGATGATACGAGATGACAATCTGATAAAATTTTATAAGACATTTGAGGCCAATGATGTAATGCCTATAATTACTATTGGTTATGCTTCTCTTTGTAAAATCTTTAGCTTTGATATTTTGTATAGAATATTGATATTACCGATACCAAGTATTGGCATTGGCTCCGATGCCATTAAAGACAAGTTACAGTAGAGACAAATGTAATATTCTTGTGAAGTTCAAGATCTTGAATAAAAGTTTGATAATTGATGGATCCTCAATACTTCGTATTGGTAATATCAATATTCTATACAAAATATCAAAGTTTCAGTTGATTATCATACGAGATGATAATCTGATGAAATTTTATAAGACATTTGATGCCAATGATGTGATGCCTATAATTACTATTGGTTATGCTTCTTTTTGTAAAATCTTTAGCTTTGATATTTTGTATAGAATATTGATACTAACGATACCAAGTATTGACATTGGCTTCGATGCCATTAAGGACAAGTTACAATGGAGACAAATGTAATATTCTTGTGAAGTTCAAGATCTTGAATAAAAGTTTGATAATTGATGGGTCATCAAGCTTCCTATAAGAGTCCGCAGCACCCCCCCTTGAATTCTTAT